CAAACCTACAGCACGACGTGTTCATGGGTTGCAGGCTGGGCCCAACACGTTCGACCGAAGCTGCTGCTCGAGCCTTGGTGGTCGGGGTTTACTGGGTTGCTGTTAAGGAACTTAAATTAAGTTAGGGTTTAGGGTTTAGGGTTTAGGGTTTAGGGATATTATCCCCCTATAATGGAGAATCAAATGGAAGATGAAATGGAAACTGGGGGAATATGGGGATTTAAGGAACTTAAATTGAGTTACTACATTGGGGAAACCCTATAATTGACTATATATACCCATTATGGTAACTTAATTTAAGTTCCCAAACCCTAAACCCTAAACCCTATATATCCCCATATACCCCTATAAAACCCGATATTATGGTAACTTAATTCAAGTTCCTTAACAGCAACCCAGGTTAACCTGTGCGGCCGAGATGCTGTGCAAGTCAGGGGAGATGTCAGCAAAGTGCTGCACGGTGATTACCTGGTCCCTAGCAAGTCTTCGCTTTTTCAAGCAGTCCCTCTTTGCCCAGATTGCGAAGCGGCTTGTCAGATCGGCGGATCTGAGCAGCTGTGAGCCTTATGAGCTGACAAATTTGCTCTGGGCTTTCGCTGTACTTTGCAAGCAGCGACGGCAATTGGGGCAGGACCTGGCAGCACCAGTCCTAGCACTATGTGCTATGTCCACTGACATCATCGGCCAGAGAGGTGGAACTTGGAAGGTGCAGGTGCTGATGTCCGCTATGGTGTCCATATCCATTCTCCCGTGGCACAGCTCCAGCCTCGAAGTCTTCTTCGGCATGGTTGACGAGCTGGCAGCACGGCAGGCTGAGTGCCAACTCGTGAGACGACAATGGGGGTCTCCCAAAATTAGGGGTACCCTTTTAGGGGTCCCAATAATAAGGATCATAGTATATTGGGGTCTATATTGGGGTCCCATTATTTTGGGAAACTACCAATGTTTGCCAGTCTTACCTTACCTGTATGCCTCCTTAGTGGCCCGTGCCTCATTTGCAGGCCGAACTCGAGAAGGAGAACACCAGGCAAGTGGGGCTATCCTTCGAGGAGCTCCGCAAAAGGCAGCCGCAGGCGGGTGTTATAATAATAATAATAAGGTTCACCAATAGACTCCAGCTGTAAAAATCTTCGTCAGATCCGAATGAATGGCGTTCAGAGAGCGGGCGCGACCACAGCTCTAAAGCAGTCCTCATGTTGCGTCTCGTTTCCTGTTGCGTCATGGGGCCGGCAAACCTGCTGCGGGCCTAGGGCCTGGGGCCCTGCGGTTTTTCACAGTTTAACGGGACTAAACCGATTTTGGTCATGCAAAGGGCGTGCACTCTGCCACGCAGGTGGCTGTCACTTTCATTTTTCGCAACCTGTGCGGTATAGGCCGATGTGGTTGCGTAAGTGCATGATACGTAGGGCCTGCAACCCTTCGAGGCCACATTGAGCTATAATTAGTGATAATTAGTGTAAACCCGTTAATAAGCTCTATATTACTCCCCTATAATCCCCTATATAACATTATATAACCCCTTTAAGGATGTTTACTATA